CCCCCCCCCCCCCCCCCCCCCCCCCCCCCCCCCCCCGGCAAGAAAAAAAAAAAGTGAAATGAGATTATTTTCCTTACTGAGGTTTTTTTCCAAGTAGTATCCAGCGGTTGGTTATTGCGGATCGGGTGCTGTAAGGATGCTGAGCAGTCCTTCAAACATCAGTATTGAAACATACAAAATATTTTACTACTGCACATTCTGCAGTAGGCGGGTAGGATGATCTGGCAGCATGATGTCACGCTGTGAGAGGTCAGTAATGTTCTAAAATCGGTTGCCATGGAAGTGACTGTAGGAGAAGACTGTCCTCTGTAACGTGGAACGTCCCTGCCACCAATCGCTTGTTGCTCAGCCTGGACGCCTGTGTCCTCTGACGAAGTGCCTTACCTGGCTGTTGTTTTACCTGGCTTGTATCTTCAAGTTTATTCGCGTCACATAAATGACGCAGCAGAAGAGGCTAGCTAGGGGAAACAGTACTCTCTTTATTTGAAATCAACTGGTACAAAGCTTAATCGTAGGAAAAAACATCAGATGTATTTAAATTGCATAATGCAACATGCACGACTTTTCTGTTGCTGTTGTCAGATCATGCAAGCGTGCTGCTTGGCCCAGGAGAAAGCACGTGACAATTGTGCTGTTGCAAAGAATGAAATAAAAATGATGTAAGAGCATTCGAGTTTTAGTGGTAGACTTCGTTATACCTTTGATTTACAGGATAGTGACTTCCAAGTGTGGCCAATTCTGCCTTCGGTGACAGTGTCCGTGTGCTCCGTACCCGTAGGGCTGCGGGGAGAATTGGGGCATGGCTAAGAATAAAAACAGCTGGGAAATGCACATGGTACTACTGCAGTGTGTGTTTGTTGCTCACGAGCATAAAGCTCATTCTCCATTTTAAGACTGGTAGTTTGCTATTCTGGAAGTGTTTTATAAACGATTCTAAATTTTTTATCTTTTGATACAGGTGATGATTTTTTGAGGTAATAAGTAATTTGTACTGCGCTGTAATCGAGTGGGAAATATAATTGTTTCTTCATGAGAAGTATAACTGTTTCTTCACGTTTAATTAATACTAATAGCACTAATATTGCAGTTGTCTGTTACGTTATGTTACAGAAAGCCCACAGGCACTTGTCCCATATAACAAGGTGTAAAATCACAGAAAGGCTCTCCGAGGACTAAGAAATGGAAATTACTGCCTGTTTCAATAACTGATGTGATTGTTAAAGGTATATTATTATCGTGCCAAAACCAAATTAACCTGAGCACACGGCAGTTTGAGCTCTAAAACCTGTTCGCTTCTGCTATGCAGAAATAGGAACGTATTGTTTAAATACCTTTGGTAACTAAAGCGTTTAATATTTAATTTTGTTGTTGCTCACTGTTTTACAGCTCTTTGGGGATTGTTCTAATAAAGATTTAGATACAAAGCACAGAGTGAGTGTCTTCGTGCCCAGCGCCGCGCACGGCCCCGCGCCGGGATGCGGGGCAGCGGCGGGAGGGGGGCGGGCGCTCGGTGCGGGCCGGGAGCTGCGCACGCTGCGGTGCGGGCCCGGAAGTGGCGGTGCGTTGAGGATTTGTGTTTCTTCAGCTGCGTGGAGAAAAACCACGGCTTTTTAGTTGGACCTGTTCAGAAATCTCGTTTTGCCGGGCGGGTTGATATCAGCCGAAGTCGTACCCTGTAATTTGGTTCCAGCAGACTTGACGAAAGTCGTGCTTTTCTCCCGTCCTGTGTGCTGAGCCCTCGGGGCGTGCGGGAGGTGCTGCTGAGGGGCTGCAGCTGCACGGGCACGTCCCGGGTTCTGTGTTGGCCCGTTGCTGTGAGTGGAGCAAAAGGAACAGTATTGCTGCCTGCAGTGCAATTTTTCCAGGTTGACGAGAGAAATTAAATTAAAATAATAAAAATTTCTTTGAAAAAGTGCTAGAGTGCCTCAGAGGTGAGGATGACTTTCAGCAGGGCAGCTCAGCAGCACCGGAGCTGTTGTGTGGCGGCAGGACAGAGGCAGAATTCCAGCTGGGTGCTAACAGCTGCAGTGTGGCTGCTGTTGCTGCCATGCATTGGAGGACGTTCTGGCCTCCAGCTGTCAGTGCAGTGAAACCACGCAGTAGAGTTTCTGAGTTAACACAAAAAACGATGTGATGCTTATAGCTACAGGCAGCTGGGCGTTGCTGGCACCTTGTGCAGAGCGGGGCTGTGCTGGCAGGAGGCGTTCATCTTTGTCTGCAACTGAGCCAGAACGTGGTGACTGAACAGCAGGTGGGTGCGTGCAGATTCATGGGCTACATGGGAAGCTTTCTTCTCAGGGTTGCAGCTTATGTCACTTAAAGCCACGCGTTCGGTGCATAAGGGATTGCAGTAAGCAATATGATCGCTTAGAGAGGTAACTGCTGTCAGTTCTGATGGGGCTGTCGGTGGGTTTATGTTGCACAGTCCTCTTGCCAGCCAGAGGCCCTGGTGGGTGAGCAGTGGTGCTGGTATGGCACAGCCTGCAGCAGTTCCACCCTGCTCTGCTCTGCGACTCTCAGAGGGAAAGAGTAAAAGGAAGGTGGTCACAAGGCAAATGCTATGGAGAAGAGAGTGAATCTGCCCCATGAGTTTGGGTGTGGTCAAGTTCAGTTCCAGCTATATAGTGGAAAATGAACTCTAAAAGTCTTCCTCAAAAGGACACTGGCTTTTCCTGACCCCAGCTTAGCAGCTGAGCTGACGTGGGCAGAGAAGTGAGCCGTGC